ACCTAAATAGACCCATAACTGAAACAGAAATTGAAATAGTAATAAAGGCCTTCCCAACAAAGAAAAGCCCAGGACCAGATGGATTCACTGCTGAATTCTATCTGACATTTAAAGAAGAACTAATCCCATTTCTTCTCAAACTATTCAGAACAATCAAAAAGAGGGAATCCTCCCAAATTCTTTCTATGAAGCCAGCATCACCTTAATCCCTAAGCCAGAGAAAGATGCAGCACTGAAAGAAAATTATAGACCAATATCCCTGATGAACATAGATGCAAAAATCCTCAATAAAATTCTCGCCAATAGAATACAACAACACATCAGAAAAATCATCCACCCAGACCAAGTGGGATTTATCCCTGGTATGCAGGGATGGTTCAACATTCGCAAATCAATCAATGTGATTCACCACATTAACAGACTGCGAAGAAAAACCATATGATTATCTCAATAGATGCAGAGAAAGCATTCGATAAAATTCAACACCCTTTCATGATGAAAACTCTAAGCAAATTGGGTATAGAAGGAGCATTCCTCAACATAATCAAAGAAATTTATGAAAAACCCACGGCCAGCATCCTATTGAATGGGGAAAAGTTGGAAGCATTTCCACTGAGATCTGGTACCAGACAGGGATGCCAACTCTCACCACTGCTATTTAACATAGTTCTGGAGGTTCTAGCCAGAGCCATCAAACAAGAAAAAGAAATTAAAGGAATACAAATTGAGAAGGAAGAAGTCAAACTATCCCTCTTTGCAGACGATATGATTCTGTACTTAGAGGATCCAAAGAACTCTACTAAGAGACTATTGGAACTCATAGAGGAGTTTGGCAAAGTGGCAGGATATAAAATCAACGCACAAAAATCAACAGCCTTTGTATACACAAGCAATGCCACGGCTGAGGAAGAACTGCTAAGATCAATCCCATTCACAATAGCTACAAAAACAATCAAATACCTTGGAATAAACTTAACCAAGGACGTTAAAGATCTCTACGATGAGAATTACAAAATCTTAAAGAAATAGAAGAGGATACCAAAAAATGGAAAAATCTTCCATGCTCATGGATTGGAAGAATCAACATCATCAAAATGTCCATTCTCCCAAAAGCAATTTATAGATTCAATGCAATCCCAATCAGGATACCGAAGACCTTCTTCTCAGATCTAGAAAAAATGATGCTGAAATTCATATGGAGGCACAAGAGACCTCGAATAGCTAAAGCAATCCTGTACAACAAAAACAAAGCCGGAGGCATCTCAATACCAGATTTCAGGACATACTACAGGGCAGTTGTAATCAAAACAGCATGGTACTGCTACAGAAACAGAACAGATGGATAGACCAATGGAACAGAATTGAAACACCAGAAATCAACCCAAACATCTACAGCCAACTTATATTTGATCAAGGATCTAAAACCAATTCCTGGAGCAAGGACAGTCTATTCAATAAATGGTGCTGGGAAAATTGGATTTCCACGTGCAGAAGCATGAAGCAAGACCTTACACCTTACACAAAAATCCACTCAACATGGATTAAAGACCTAAATCTATGACCTGACACCATCAACTTATTAGAGAACATTGGAGAAACCTTTCAAGATATTGGCACAGGCAAAGAGTTTCTAGAAAAGACCCGGGAGGCACAGGCAGTCAAAGCCAAAATCAACTATTGGGATTGCATCAAATTGAGAAGTTTCTGTACTGCAAAAGAAACAGTCAGGAGAGTGAAGAGACAACCGACAGAATGGGAAAAAATATTTTCAAACTATGCAACAGATAAAGGGTTAATAACCAGAATCTACAAAGAGATCAAGAAACTCCACAACAACAAAACAAACAACCCACTTAAGAGATGGGCCAAGGACCTCAATAGACATTTTTCAAAAGAGGAAATCCAAATGGCCAACAGGCACATGAAAAAATGTTCAAGATCACTAGCAATCACGGAAATGCAAATCAAAACCACAATGAGGTTTCACCTCACCCCGGTTAGAATGGCTCACATACAGAAATCTACCAACAACAGATGCTGGCGAGGATGTGAGGAAAAAGGGACACTAACCCACTGTTGGTGGGAATGCAAACTGATCAAGCCACTATGGAAGTCAGTCTGCAGATTCCTCAGAAACCTGAAGATAACTCTACTGTTCGACTCAGCCATCCCACGCCTTGGAATTTACCCAAAGGAAATGAAATTGGCAAACAAAAAAGCAGTCTGTACATTAATGTTTATTGCAGCGCAATTCACAATAGCCAAGACCTGGAACCAACCTAAATGCCCATCAACGGTAGACTGGATAAAGAAATTATGGGATATGTACTCTTCAGAATACTATACCGCAGTAAGAAACAATGAAATCCAGTCATTTGCAACAAAATGGAGGAATCTGGAACACATCCTGCTGAGTGAAATAAGCCAGTCCCAAAGGGACAAATACCATATGTTCTCCCTGATCGGTGACAACTGACTGAACACCAAAAAGGAAACCTGTTGAAGTGAAATGGACACTATGGGAAACGGTGACTTGATCAGCATAGCCCTGACTATTTATGAACAACTTAATACATTATCCATCTTAGTAGTTTTTTTTTTTTGTCTGTTCTACTTAATGTGACTGGTTTAATTCTGTAATTAATACACAGTTATTCTTAAGTGTTAAAATTTAACTGAAATGTGATCCCTGTTAAACATAAGAGTGGGAATGAGAGAGGGAAGAGATGTACAATTTGGGACATGCTCAGGCTGACTTGCCCCAAATGGTAGAGTTAGAAACATACCAGGGGATTCCAATTCAATCCCATCAAGGTGGCATGTACCAATGCCATCTCACTAGTCCAAGTGATCAATTTCAGTTCACAATTGATCATAATGAAAGGACTAAGAGTCAAAGGAGCACATAAACAAGTCTAATACCTGCTAATACTAACCGATAGAATACATAAAGGGGAGAGTGATCCAACATGGGAAGCGAGATACACAGCAGACTCATAGAATGGCGGATGTCCTAAACAGCACTCTGGCCTCAGAATCAGCCCTAAAGGCATTCGGATCTGGCTGAAAAGCCCATGAAAGTATTTCAGGCATGGAAAGCCAAGACACTCTGGGGGAAAAAAAAAAAACCTAAATGAAAGATCTCTGTGAGTGAGATCCCAGTGGAAAGAACAGGTCTTCAAAGAAGGAGGTACCTTTCTCTGAAGGGAGGAGAGAACCTCCACTTTGACTATGACCTTGTCTAAATAAGATAAGAGTCGGTGAACTCAAGGGGCTTCCATAGCCTTGGAAACTCATGACTGGAGCATAGGGAGATTACTGATGCCATAAACAGGAGCGTCAATTTGTAAAGTCAACAACAGGAGTCACTGTGCACTTACTCCTCATGTAGCATCTCTGTCCTTAATGTGCTGTACATTGAGATTTAATGCTGTAACAAGTACTCAAACAGTATATTTCACTTTGTGTTTCTATGGGGGTGCAAACTGTTGAAAGCTTTACTTAATGTATACTAAACTGATCTTCTGTAAAAAAAAAAAAAAAGAAATTATCAATTCCCAACTTGACTCTCACTGGGATTAAACATGACAATAGGTCTGATCTGGTTTCATCATTATTTAAAAAATCATCTATTAGTTTTCACTTTATGTTTCTGTGTGGGAGCAAACTGTTGAAATCTTTACTTAATGTATGCTAAACTGATCTTCTGTATATAAAGAGAATCGAAAATGAATCTTGATGTGAATTGAAGGGGATAGGAAGTGGGAAAAGGGAGGGTTGCGGGTGGGAGGGACGTTATGGGGGGGAAGCCATTGTAATCCATAAGCCGTACTTTGGAAATTTATATTCATTAAATAAAAGTTAAAAAAAACACCCCTAGTTTTTGTTAAGTTACAGAAGCAGGATTCAAATGCTCAAGTCTAAGAATTTCCAGAACCCATCATTTTTAAATTCTTTTCAAACCCAAAGCTCAGTAAAGAACCCAAGAATTCTACATGAAATTTAAATTTCATTCTGGGCAGAAGACAACACTGGGAATAGAATATCTGCAAGTGAAACTTCAAATTTAGAAAACAAATCAAAAAACAAATGTATAATGTTTGCTAAAAACCATTCTATTTATTTGCAATAAATTTGCTTTCAAAAGAACAGTAGGACATGCCTGCAATTTGGTTTATAGACGAGTGCCTTAGAACAAAGGGCTCTATAAAAGTTTTTTAGGAAGCATTTTTATTACTTTTGTACATGCTCCACACAGAGATGTCAGACAGACCTACGATCAGGGAGAAATGCACACATTTTCCACTTACAAAGGGGTTACACCCTGACAAACCTGTTAAGTTGAAAAGATCATTAAATTGAAAATGCATTTAATAACACCCAACCTACCAAAAATCACAGCTTTGCCTAGCCCACCTCAAACATGCTCATAACACTTAAAAGTGCCCTATGGCCTACAGCAGGGGGCAGGGAGGGGACAGAAGAGCACCATCTAGCACAAAGCCTATTTTATAATAAAGCACTGTCTCATGCAATTTATTAACTGTACTGGAAGTGAAACAAAAATTATTGTATGGGTATACATTTAGGCCACTGTAAGTAAAAAATCCTGAGTTAAACTATCTACATCCAAACAAACAAGTCTCTCATTGATAACAGTCATTATGTCACTATGCCTGTACCCATGATTCAATTACTGGATTGAAATCCACTCGGTTTTGTATCTGGATAGAAAAGCCAATCCCAAACATAAGATTTTATCAGCTACCATCCTGATCACATTGTAGCCACTATGGGTGGTGAGATAGGCACACATGTCCTATTCTACTGTGTACCCTTCACTTCTCAAGACACAAGCTAGGGGAGGCTGGGTAGGAAAGACTAAGCAGAGTGCTGGTTCTATTTACTTTAATTAATGCATAGCGATGCACAGATTTGTGATGTATGAATGACAGGAATAATCCAACATTACAGTGGTTAGAGACAAAATTAATACTTACTTCCACTGGCAAACCCACTAGTGGCTGTCGCCTGCATCACCTCTCTTCTGTAATCTCTATCTTTCGGGAAGCTATTAACTGCCATCTTGTTTGCTTCTTTTTGTCTCTGTTCTCTAAAAATAGAAAATATATAAGCTCATAAAAATCACATCAAGGACATGGGTACCCATAATAGCTCCTGCCAAATATTCAAACAGTATATACAAAATCAAAGAACTGAATATGGTCTAAAATTTATCTGGTATGGAGGTAAGCACACAGAACACTAATGTTTCTTCGTGATGGCAAAAGTATACCAATTATTTAAACCACTAACGCCACAGACAACTTCACAGTATTAATTCTACATATGTAAAAGACATGAGCATGATTGTCCCATAAGCTCTACAAACTTGTATTATAAATTATAACAGAAATGCACAAATGGAGATTAATAATGTAAGCATTTTATTAAATATACTAACTGCTCATAAGAACCTTATGGGCAGCTGCTCTCCTACATGTTAAGACAAATTATAGAAAACACAGTAAACAGGTCAACAACTGCAATTAAAAGAGGGAGTGATGATGTCTCAATAAAGAATCTAAAATTCAAATGCATAACACCATAAAATATAACTTGTAGAATCAAGAATGGTAAATATAGCTCAACTAGATTAAAAGCAAATACCTTTCAAAAAAAAAAAAAAAAGCAAATACCTTTCAAGCCACTCTTTTGGTTTTTCCCATTGTGAAACTTCTGTTCGACAGTTGTAGTAGTATTTTTTCCCAGAAGAGCTAATATGCTCAGAACAGTCATCTGCAGAATCATAAGGCTTAAAGATAATTTTAAACATGAGAAAATATTATTACTTAATAACCTGATAGCATCAATGATTTCCAAAGCATATACACGGAAACAAAAGCATACATATGAGACCAAAGCACCTTACTGTGTACTGCTAATTATCTGAGTGCATATAGCAGTAGACTGGAAACCTTCATAAATCACAGAAAACCTTAAAAAAATCAAAAAAGGAAAAACACAGAAGCCCTCAATCACCATGGCTGAAATACGACAGCATGGTGACGAGGAGGAGAAATCACTGCCAAGTGACTAATAAAGCATGAGACCCTCAGTTCTAACTGCAGCACGCTAGTGGTCACACACAGTACAACAGAGAACAGTCTGCCTTTAGGTACTGCAACACAGTGGAAAAGGGAACCAACATTTAAAAAATATAGACAAAAAGTCAGCTGAAAGTTCTCTGTAAAATCCATGAGATGAGTCAAGCATTAAGTAAGACCCCCTGGTCTCATGTAATCATGACCAGCAGTATCACTCATTTTCCCACAACCAGAGCTGGTCTTCCGGATATTCTCACATGTAGTCTCTTGCAGGTATCTTAGAGGAAATGTAACAATCACAATGACGGTAGAAAAATCTGAGAAGTCTAAGCTAAGTGTCTGCACTGAGCACAGGAAATGCAGTAAAATGTCAAATATTCTTCTAGTTGAGAGCCTTAACTATTTTTTTAAAATATTTATTTGAAAGGCAGAGTTACAGAGAGGCAGAGGCAGAGAGGGAGAGGAGACAGAGGTCTTCCATTCTCTGGTTCACTTCCCAGATGGCCACAATGGCCGGAGCTGCACCAATCTGAATGCAAAAGCCAGGAGCTTCTTCCTGGGTGCCCATGCAGGTGCAGGGGCCCAAGGACTTGGGCCACCTTCTACTGCTTTTCCAGGCCACAGCAGAGAGCTGGATCAGAACCAGTGCCCATATGGGATGCCGACACTACAGGTGGTGGCTTTACTCACTATGTGAGCCCCAACTTTAACTATTTTTTCTAAGAGGTATGATATTAAAATGAATAATGTTATACTATGGTAGCCTAACCGTCTGGGTTTGCCAAAGTGTATAATGACACAGTTTTATTTATTTTGAAATTTTTACTTGTTTGAGAGTCATAGAGACTGAAAGAGACAGATTTTGTCCATCTGCTGGTTCACTTCTCAAATGCCTGCATGAGCTCTGCCCAGGGACAAAGCTGTGAACTTAATCCAGGTCTCCCACATGGGCAGCAGGATCTCACCAACTTGAGCTATCACCGTTGCTTCCCAGGTCTGTATCCGCATGAAAAAGTCAGGAGCCAGAGGCAGGTGTTAAACCCTTGGACTTTGTACATGGGATGCAGCAATGTGGCTGCCAAGCTACACGCCCACTCAGTGGCACAATTTTGAAGCTTGAGAAATCAACTTCTACTCAATGCCTTGCCCTACCCAGTTTAATATTACCAGTTAGGAAACATGCTGAGAGAACTTAATGAGTTGTGCATAGGTCAGAAAACTAATTAGTGGTATATAAAAGGATCAAAATTCTGGTTTCTGAATGCTAATTATTTCCATTAAATAGACATCAATTCTGGAAATGCTTTAAAAATTTTGAGAACAGTTGGAGAAATGCTGCAGACTCTGCCATAAGTTTATATTCTGCAGTTTACATCTCAAAATAAGGAAAACATTGGACTTCAGCCCTGTGCTTCCAAGTCTCTAAAAGCAGTGGGGAGTTAATTTTCAATCATGAGCAGCTAGAAATAAGCTATGACAATGTTAGCAGGCCAGTCACAGATGCCGAATTCATAAAGTTCTCCATCACTCACTTCTCCCTGTAGGTAAATTACACAAAATCACCCTCCTCTTATAGATGTTGTCAACAGATTTGCTCTGCTTGGTTACATGGGGTTCCCAGATAGGCCAAAGGGATGGAAAGTGGGATCTGAAGCTAGCAGACAGAAGATATGGGTAGCAGAGGGGAGACCAGCGTGATCTAGAGCAGCGCTCTGCAAACTGCCCAAGCACAGCCCTGCACCTTTCCGAGGGGAGATAGAGTTAGCACCACAACACACACACACACACACACACACACACAAGCACACACTCGTGCCTCTCTCACCAGGAATCTCCTTAAGATTCTGCTGCAACCTCCTGACAGTTACTAACTGACAGACCAGAGCCTGCAGAACCCTGGACTGTGACACTATGTGGATTTGCCCATCAAATCTTAAGTCAGCACGTACTAATGTCTTAAAGCATGTTCCAAGGTATAGCATTACAGCCAAATACCAGTAACTTCTGCCTATCTTCTCCCAACTTCCATCCTCAAGGAGTTAGGAAAGAAAATCAAGTAATGGAATAATTTTTAAGATACTAATGTGCAACAGATGTCAATTTTTTTTTTTTACTAAAGGAATCAAATTGAAAATCAAACACAAGGACTATAGCCATTTCAAGTATTCTAAATTAGGCTTGAGATGATTGCCAGCACAGGTGCTAAGTAAGTTCAGAGTGTTACCCAAGAATCCTTAGGGAACTTGGAGGGCCGTTCACAGATCGAGACTGTTTTCACAGAAGACCAAGATGACTTTGTCTCTTCATGTACCACAAGCATACAGGGAGTTTATTAAGAGCTGTCCAGGACATCTGTTTTCACAAAAGATTGGATACAGAAGCAGATAGGAAATTCTAAATGTCATCTACTAAGTCAGACACTAAAGAGAAGCTTGATGTCTTTTTGTTCTAAAATTTGTTCATACAGATACGCCCATATCAATGTCTAACAGTTTTATGATTGCCATTTTAAGTAAATGATTTTAATCTCTTAAGTTTATGGTTTTAAATATTTTACTCTGATGGGACACAGAGCATGCGCCAAGCAGCTGGTTCATTCCACAAAGGCCTGCAGCAGATGGGAACTCCACTTAAATCTCCCATGCAGGGTGGCAGGAGACCAACCATTTGAGCCATCGACTGATACCTTCAGAGCATGCAGCAGGGGGAAGCTTCAATGTAGAGTGGAGCCAAGACTTGAAACCATGGGAGTTAGCAAGAAACTACATGTTCCTATCGTAATCTAATGCTAGGGGGAGGGAAAAGTTCCCAATATGTGATACTGGCATTCTGATCAGCATCTTAAGTCAGATCAACTATCGCTCAGTTTTAATTTTTTTAAAAAAAGACTGATTCCTTTAAGAGGTAGAGTTACAGATAGACAGGGAGAGACAGAAGGGTCTTCCATCTGCTGGTTCATTCCCAAATGGAAGCCAGGAGCTTCTCCCAGGTCTCTTGGGTGCAGGGGACCAAGCACTTGGGCCATCTTCTACTGCTATCCCAGGCCACAGCAGAGAGCTGGACTGGAAGAGGAGCAGTTGGGACATGAACGGGAGCCCATATGGGATGTCGACATTACAGGTGGAGGCTTAGCCCTGTATGCCACAGCACCTGCTCAGTTTTAATTTCTAATATGATAACTGCTGATGACAGATCACATAAACAACAGCTTTCAGTTTTTCCAGAAGAAAATGGCTCCTGATTTTGGTTTGGTTCAGCACCAGCTGCTGCTGCAGCAATCTAGGGGAGTGAACCAGCAAGTGAAAAATCTGTCTCCCTCTTTCAAACCAATCAATCAATCTTTTACTTATGTAAATTAACAGACTGTTTTTCCATGAATAAAGAAGATTCACACGGTTTGCTGGTAGCACCTGCCAAAGTCCCTCAGCTTCAATCCCATCTCAAGTCTGCTCTGCAATGCTGATGTTAGTCCAAGTGCTGGAACAATGCAAATCACTTCCTCCCAGAAACACCAGAAGATGAAGCCATAGTGGGTTCTGGTCTCCAGCTCGCCAGTGCAGTCCACCACATGAACTAGCTTCAGAGGCACTGTCTCCAGCTCTGTGGGTGCCTCCTCACCATCAGGTTCCGAAAATCTAAACTTCCTGCTATTGTACCACAGTCCTCTTGGTTTCCTCCTCTTTTATCCCCCCTCCCAACTTTTAATACCTATCATATCTGCTTACCAGTATATTAAGTTCTGTGTTAAAACACCCTACTGTAATTATTTTTCCTAACTGACCCCAGACTAACACTCAAAACTATTCTAGATTTATGTGTACCTTAATATCCTTTTTTTCTATCCACACTACTTCAGTAAGAGAAAAAAAAAATGAAAGGTCTTGCCGTGCCAATTAAGGTATAAAAATCACTCAAACACCCAAGCAAAACCTGCACCTTCGATGGTTTTCTGTCAGATTGTTGCTTCTTTCCTATACCTTCCCACATTGCTACCTCAGATGACTTTCTGATTATAATTATGATACTGCTTTACTGATTAGATCCTTCAATAACTTTCTACTGCCTTTGTACATAATTTGTATTCCTTGCCAAGACAGACATTTTACCATCTAAAATACACTAATAATACCTAATCTTAGGCTCCTGCCATTTTTCCACAGCATCAAATCCTCCCAGTTCTTCAAACATGCCGTGCCATCTCATACTTCCATGTTATTCTTATTCCTCTGTATGCTACACAATGTTCACACCTATTCTACTGGCTAAGCCATATTTAAACCTGTTAAGAAGCTTTACTTACAGTTTCTATCTTCTTCATCTAAGCTGTGGCTCTTTATCCTGAGTGCCCTCCAGAGCAACTTTAACAAACACTGTGTTTTTTACTTTTCTATCTCCCCAAGTCTAAAAGTTCCTTGAAATGTGGTACTTCCCAGTGTTGTGGCTCAGCGGTTTAAGTCACCGCTTGCAGCGTCAGCATCCTATACGAGTGCCAGTTAGAGTCCCCACTGTTCCTTTTCTGATCCCGATTCCTAATAAAGCAGGTGGGAAAGCAGTGGAAGATACCTCGCAAGTACTTGGGACCCCACCACCCACGAAGGAAACCTGGGTGGAATCCCAGGCTCTTGGTTTCAGCCTTGCCCAGCCTCAGCTGTGACAGCCATTTAGGGGAGTGAATCAGTGGATGGAAGATCTCTCCACCCCTTTCTGTAACTTTGCGTTTCAAATAAACAAGCTTTTGTATTAAACATTTCTTAAAATTAGATGGGTCACATTATCTTGATTCTGTAGGCTTACATTCTAGCATATACCTAGTAAAATGAAATTTTAAATTATTTCTGGTTAAATGAATACATTAGAAATCTGTGTTTAATCTGGACACTGAATAGAAAAATCCAAACTGAGTAGCAGTTACTTCAGTCTTAAAACACTTTATTATTTTTTTTCTTAAAACACTTTAACCATGGAAGTTTCATCTGAAGTTCTTTACAACTCACATATTGCAAAGACAAAACTCTGCTTAAGGTAATGCCAAGATGGTATTTCCTGACTGTCCTCAATTCTACTAACACCTGTAAAGTTTACTCACTACTTTAAAAGAGTGTTATTATTGTTGCAAATAAATACATTAAGAAAACATCAATTTTGGTTAGAACATAAGAACAGACTGGATATAAGGAGCTTTGCCATCAGATTTTTGTAATGAATTCCAAAAGATAAAATTGGGCGTGTGTATTAATACTTACTGCATCTGAAGTTTTGCTTGAATTATTGCTTGGATTAGAAGAATGTGAATTTGAACTATGAAGAGCACTGTGGTTGTGTGAATTTTCTTGTGGAGAGTAACTGGTCCCTTTAAAAAATAAAGAGGAAAGTGAATTCCAGGTAAATTGTATTCCATCTGATTTTTATCATACTACAGACCATTATTACACTTCAGTATCAGGAATACAGTTTTATAATACACAAAAAATCTGAGTCTACTATAGATGCAGCTTATTATACTACATAGCTGATAACCTATGGAACAACGAAGTTTAATTAGATGAGCAGGATACAAAGTCCTGTGTAATTTCTAGAAAAACTTTTTAAAGAGAAGTTTCACTGAAAAAAAAATGCACAGAGTATAAAAGTCCCAATGACCCAATACTGAAAGTCACTACTAGCAGTATGTTTTCCAACTATATACTTCCATCTCTTCAGTTTCTGCACCTCACTTTTTAATAGTCAATTTTTCACTGAAACAGCATCAAGCTTTCAAAAAGGTTCACAAAGAAAAGTCTCGAAGTCCAATCTTGCAAAAATACTTTGGTTAATGATATAAAAAGGTTCCCTACAAAGCCTAATGTTAGTATTTCAATTTCACTCCACATACCTAGGGACCTTCAGCAACAATTCAACTGGTACTTGGAAAGAAAGGAAAGAAGGAAGGAAAGCTGGCAATGGTATGGGGGTTGGTTACACTTATAAACAAAACTGAAAGCAGCAGAGTAACTTAAATGGTCTAGTCATTTAGGAATTAGCAGTCAGAACCAGGTAAAACCAGAAATTAGTATGAATTATTTCAATTAACAGGAAAAACTAAACGGTAAGAGGGAATGTATACTTAGAGATTATGACTATAAAAGTTTCAGATTATCCAAGTGGAAATGGTCAACAGATCTATGTAAAACTAGGAATCCAAGAGAAAGGTAGCACACAGTTGTGAATTTGGAAGTATTTTTCCATTAGACATCAATGGTATTAGACTGACTTTGGCATGCATACAATAAACATTCGTGGATGAAATAATAGGATAACAACGGTCAAGGTTTAAGACTGCAAGGGAGGGTCCGGCGCCATGGCTCACTTGGTTAATCCTCCACCTGTGGCGCCAGCATCCCATATGGGCACTGGGTTCTAGTCCCGGCTGCTTCTCTTCCATGCCAGCTCTCTGCTGTGGCCTGGGAAGACAGTGGAGGATGGTCCAAGTGCTTGGGCCCTGCACCCGCATGGGAGACCAGGAAGAAGCACCTGGCTCCTGGCTTTGGATCAGCACAGCACTGGCCATAGCAGCCACTTGGGGAGTGAACCAATGGAAGACCTTTCTGTCTAACTCTGTCAAAAGAGACTGCAAGGGAAGCTATATGCAGACTCCAAGACCCAAAAGACTACTGATGTCATTAACATGGTTACTTAACAGGTAATGCAAATATTACAAAAAATAAAGTCCCCAAGAAGCTTGATGCTAGGAGATACCCGATGTTTCTTCTACTTATCTTGTTAGATTGTATTAACTTACTTTATAAAAAAGTAATACCTTTAATACAACAGGAAATAAGTAGATCATTCAATAAATGCCAGTAAGAATTGTCGCTCCCCGTCTTCGTGGAGGAACGACACAGGACCCTGCGCTGTTCTTTCGTCTGCTCGGCCCTCCCCGGTTTGCTGCTGGTTCTTCCCGGGTTGGCTACTATCCCTTCCACCTCCGTGGAAGGGCAGTTCCCCCTGCCACATTCCCCACTTCCGCAGGGGAGCGGCACACCGCCGGCCGGCTCTCTCGGGGGCTGCTCAGGTGTTCCCCTTAGGTGTTCCTCTTAGATGTTCCTGGTGCATGCCGTCTCTCTCCTCCTTTATAGTCCTCCTCTGCCAATCCCAACTCGGCTGCCCACACGCCGAGTACGCTGCTCTCCTCCAATCAGGAGCAAGTCCTACAGTTTATTGGTTGAACTGGAGGCAGCTGTGTAGAAGCTGTTTTCTCCTCTCCCAGCACCATATTGTGGGAGAGCAGATGCATAGAATAAGTCTTAATTCCAGTAACTCAGTCCAGTCCGGGTTGCTCCCCACAAGAATGAACATGATCAAGAAGAAATCAGTTAAAGACGAGTGGCTCAGTGGTTAAGAAGTCGGTTGGAATGTAATCATCTCAGAGTCAAGTGCCTGGGTTTCAGTCCTAGCTGTTTGAGTCCAGCTTCCAGCCAATGCACAGAGTACAAGACTGAGTCCCTGGCACCCACATGAAGGACTGGAACTGGGTTCCCAGCTCTTTTGTGGCTCAGCTCCAGCAACCGCAAACATTTAGGGAAGTAAACCAGCAAGTGGCTGCTGCTTCTCTCATTGCCTCTAAAGTTAACTGATTTTTTTATATGTACCATCAGTCAAAAATAAGTTCAGTGTGCAGGAAAGCTAACAGAGCAGACCTCACACTGCTACCTTACCAAGGCCGGCTTGTGTGGCGTGGCCTCAGCAGGCGTGGAATTTCAGAAGAGTTCTCAGATCTCTAACTGCTCGCTGTTCCTATGCTGGCTGAACACCTGATATCCAATTCTACATTTGGAATTGTGGTACATGTTAAGCAGAGTATACTTATCTAAGTGGCCAAATCCAAATCTTGGGCACTCACTCTAATGAGATTTTCCATAGACAACATTTCATAAGAGTTGTCACTATTTGTTTGAAGAAGAATCAAGTCAGACACAGTTGGTTTCAGTCCAGCGGGGGGGGAGGGGGGGATGGGGAGGGGAGTGCTGCACCCTGATTCTTCCACTTTGTCTCATCCCTTTTGTTTTGCACCCTCATTCGTAGCAGTTAAGTCACAGCTGTGACAGTGACTATATACACCACCTCAGACTGAGTCTTTGAGAATCACTAAACCTGGGGGTAGGCTTAGGACCCTCAAATGACAACAAAGAAAAATAACCCAATTTTTAAAGAAAGTCTTAGACCTATGATACAATTTCTACTTTTCAGGCATAAAAAATATTTTACAGATTCACAACTAAATTACAGATAAGAAAAAACTAGTAATATGACCACTAGAAGATGAATTTATGCACAACTCAAAGCAATGAGATAAATTTCAGTATGCTGACAATAAGAAAAAGCCAATTTTATTGAATGACATGAACCCCATTAAGTAGCTCAAATGGGGCCAGCACTGTGGCATAGCAGGTACAGTTACTTCCTGCAGCACGAGCATCCCACATGGACACCAGTTTGAGTCCTGGCTGCTCCATTTTTGATCCAACTCTCTACTATGGCCTGGGAAAGCACCAGAAGATGGCCCAAGTCCTCGGGCCACTGCACCTGTGTGGGAAAGCCAGGAGAAGCTCCTGGCTCCTCATGGGCCTAGCTCTGGCCATTGTGACCATTCATGGAGTGAAACAGCGGACGGAAGACACACACACACACCCCACTTCTGCCTCTATTTGTAACTCTACCTTTCAAATGAATAAATGAATCTTTTAAAAAACAAAACAAAACTCAAAAACACAAGTGACAGGTTGATTATGCACATATAATATATTATACATGAGGTCTACTGATTTCTCATATGGTTAAAATCTAGGAATTCACTCTATTTTAGTGGTTATTCTTAATCAATGAAAACCTGGGGTTGGCACTGTGGTGCAGCGGGTCAAATGTAATTCAACTCAAAGAAAAAAAAGATGAAGGTATTTTGGTAAAACTAGAATAAACTAACATTCTTATGAGAATCCAAATCTAGGCAGTTGTTTTATAGGAAGCATGGTGTAAGGTAGGCAGGCAGCAGATCTTCAGACTCCAGCCAGCAGGAAAGGCAGATAGTCCCCTGAATGACATGACAATACTAAGCTAAATGAAAAATCAGGCCAACTTTTTGAATTAAAATTACAACTTCTATTTGGCAAAACAATTTTTGAAGTACCACACCTGAACCTTTTAGTAAAGGTTCGAAGTCAACCTACCAAATTGATGTGATTATACAAACAGAAGGGCAAAGTGATTATTCCCCCTGACCGTGAGGGCAGAGTAACGTGGCAGCAGTGACAATTTCCCAGAGCAGTACCTGGAGAAGTGCTACAACACAACACTCCTTTGAAACCTCCCATTTTTTCTTTGAATATCATGTGAATTTATTAGAATCCATGAAGGACTTGTTTTAGAAACAAAAGCAAAGGTTTCATATTCTTATTAAAATGCAGAATCTAAGTGATTTTTGGATAGTAGCTGTGGGGAGCAGCCCGGACTGGACTGAGTTACTGGAATTAAGACTTATTCTATGCATCTGCTCTCCCACAATATGGCGCTGGGAGAGAAGAAAACAGCTTCTGCACAGCTGCCTCCAGTTCAGCCAATAAACTGTAGGACTTGCTCCTGATTGGAGGAGAGCAGCGTACTCGGCGTGTGGGCAGCCGAGTTGGGATTGGCAGAGGAGGACTATAAAGGAGGAGAGAGACGGCATGCACCAGGAACATCTAAGAGGAACACCTAAGGGGAACACCTGAGCAGCCCCCGAGAGAGCCGGCCGGCGGTGTGCCGCTCCCCTGCGGAAGTGGGGAATGTGGCAGGGGGAACTGCCCTTCCACGGAGGTGGAAGGGATAGTAGCCAACCCGGGAAGAACCAGCAGCAAACCCGGGGAGGGCCGAGCAGACGAAAGAACAGCGCAGGGTCCTGTGTCGTTCCTCCACGAAGAGGGGGAGCGACAGTAGCAAACAAAAACAGAACACAAAACTTGAATTCAGAATTTCAGTCCCAAATCCAAGGGCACAAAGGAAGACAAAATATACAAGCTGGCCCAATAATTCTTTATATAAAACTAGCAAAATTCGATAGTAAGAATTACATAAAGTAATCTTAAGAGATTATTTCTAAATTGACTTTAAAAAGCCCTTAGTTCAATCACTGAAATTATAAATGTTTGAACATTTTAATAACTGATATTAATATTTTAACAACTGTCACTGCAACTACATTAAAAGCAAGCTCACAGAAAGCTGACAGCACAAGTGCGTCTTCTCTTTGCCCTCTATAGCATCTATCAAAACCAAGAACTGAAAAAAAAAAATGTAACCAAATCCAACAAGGGAGAAGTCACAGCACTGACAAGGGTTTCAAGAAAAATTAAGATCCATACTAAGTACAGGAAAGTACTAAATTCCAATTCCTGTCAAGTCTACATATTTTGAACACTTAAGCCAGACCCAAGAGAGGAAAGATCACTTGCCCCATCAAATTGACTTTTTGGCCCACTTTTTAGCCCACTAAGCTAGAGAACTTAAACCTTTGACCAGACTCCTACGTGTGATACATGGAAAGAGAATTTAGAATATAGTCAAAGTTTAAAGAAAGGCTAACCTCTGCACTTTATCACTCTCTTTTCCAAGTACATGCTTTTCATACCTCTTTCTCTAGTGTCCGGGGGACAGACATTAGAATCACAGAAGGCTGGCCAGCGCCGTGGCTCAATAGGCTAATCCTTCACGTGTGGCACCAGCACACCGGGTTCTAGTTCTGGTCAGGGCGCCGGATTCTGTCCCAGTTGCCCCTCTTCCAGGCCAGCTCTCTGCTGTGGCCCGGGAGTGCAGTGGAGGATGGCCCAAGTGCTTGGGCCCTGCACCCCATGGGAGACCAGGAGAAGTACCTGGCTCCTGCCATCGGATCAGCGCGATGCACCGGCCGCAGCACACTGGCTGCAGTGGCCATTGGAGGGTGATCCAATGGCAAAAGGAAGACCTTTCTCTCTGTCTCTCTCTCTCACTGTCGACTCTGCCTGTCAAATAAAAAAAAAAAATCATCGAAGACAAAGTATTCACGCCAGTCACCCAACTCTAAGTCTACCATACATGAACCCGAGTGAATGACACTTAGACAAGCACCAGGAAGCTTCCCACACACAGCAGGCACACACCCAAGTGGGGGTATACAGCACAAAACAGGTGAAGAAAGAATCTCAGGAACTCAAGAACTTTTTAAGCAAATTCAGAGAACACAGACTGCATGAACTGAAACAAAAAGGTAAGACAACACAAAAAGTGCGTGAGGGTGGCTAGAATAAGGGGAATTTAAAAGATGACATTAAATTAAAAATTACATTAAAAGTAATAAGACGTGGGGGGTGGCACTATGGCAGAGTAGGTGTAGCCATGCCTGCAGTGCTGACATCCCACATGGGCACCAGTTCGAGTCTCAGCTGCTCCTGGCTTCGGATAGGCCCAGCTCTGGCCACTGCCATCTGGGGAGTGAACCAGTAGATGGGAGACCTCTCTCTGCTTCTGTCTCTTTGAAACTCTGTCTTTCAAATAAATAAATATTTTTTAAAAAGTAATAAAACATTAACCACAAGGGACAGAAAACAGAAGTATCACAAAGCAAATAAGCAAAAAAGACAAAGAGGAAAGCTCTTGGAGAGAAGATGCTACATATGAATGATGCGGCCAACATACACAAAACTAGACGTCCTGAAAGAGAAAGTAGAGAGGAATCTCAAGAGTATAATAAAGTAAAACTTCCCTGAAATACAAGAAGATCTGAATCTACACACCGAAGGAAGCTCACCATATACCAGGAAAGAGTAATACCCAATAAAATTGTACTTATTCTTATACCCTAGGGAAGTTGCTGGATTTTATACAAAAATTCTAAAAATATCCAGGCAGAAGTATGCTGGAGAATAAGGAATAATGTCCTTTCTATGTGAAGAGAGGAAAAGGAGTAGTACTCAATTACCCTTCCAGTCAGTATGTCCTATTCCTAAGTAATAAGGTAAAGGGAAGACATTCTCAAATACAAAATAATTCAAAGATTAAAGCACTTATGACTTAGGAAA